TAAATGTCCAAGGAATGGAAAACAATTCTTATTGGGTTAGTATGCATCTATAATTTGTTAACTTGTGACTAAAGGCCAATGATGGAAGGACACTAAATGCCTAAGAGCCCAAATCTTGGTAGTCAAGCAGAATGACCAAATGGAGGAATGAATGAATGACTTATGAAATAACTTCTAGAAGAAGCAACAGATTTTGAAATGTTGCAGTGAAACCTTGATGTCTCTATTATTTTACTTATGTTTATCAGGGAGATGTGTTTATGTTTACTAGTGAGTGGGCTTTATAGACGTCTACTCAACAGATTTCTATGTATTGTGGAGTTCTCTTTTTATTGTTCTCTTTTTAAAGATTAGCTGGACAGAAAATGAGGACAGGGTAGGGATTAAATTTTTTTTGCCATAATTTACTGAATCTAAAAGTGTTGAATGTTTTCACCTTTCTTGATTTTTCCAATAGTGCGTTTTAATTTATTTCTGATTATGTTGTGTCCATATAATAAATGTCTTTGAAAAGCTCAAAAAGGTTGACAAGCATCCTCTAGCAGTATATCATAAACACATTTACTGAGGTGTCACTAGATACATATGACATCTTGAAACTGATGATGAGCTGTGATGAGTAGTATAAGCTACCAAAATATTCTCCATAAAGTGAAACACAGATATCTGAGGTGATTTTTCCATTTGTTTTTCAGGAATCTATTATAAATTCTTAAAGAGAATTTTGTCTTTATGTTTCAGACTATTAATAGCAATGATATTTTCGCTAAAGGATTTTTATAGCTAATGATTGATAGGCCTTTTTATAAAAGTGAATGAATTTGTAGCAAAATAATTATTGAATTTGTAAATCGATGTCTTGAACATACATAAGGCAGATAATACTTATTTTCTTTACCAAAGTGTTCTTATTTCTAAATGGATTTATTGAATATTTTAAAAATCACTGAATTTCTTTATCATGTTGAAATCTAAAGTTAAGAAGAATGTTTAGAGTCTTAGAATAAGTTGCTGCTAATTCTTCAAAAATTCTTGCCCAATACATTAGTATGTGCCATCATATATTGTCTTTAATCTTAGTGACCAACTTGCACATAGGAAAAAAAGTAGCATCTTTCTAGAACTTATGTTACCAACTTGTATTAAAAAATTATTGTATTAAAAAACTACTAATGGATTAACAATAATATATATTTATTTTCATAATTATTTTATTTCCTCTTGTATTTAGAAAAGAGACTAGCTGGTACCATTGTAGCTTGGTCTGCATTTATTAGGGATTAAGGATTGGTGTCCTTAAGTAACTTGGACCCAAAAGCGAGAGTCCATGCACTGAAAAGTGTAAGCAATTAAAGAACTACCAAGGAAAGTGTTTTCCTACCTCCAGAGAGGGGATATTTACTCTTGGACTTTAAAAGTTATCATCATTTATTGTCATCAAGGGAAGCAGAGTTTTTCACACTCCAGGCACAAAATTGAAAGTGTCTAACTGTTTCATTCTCCTCTCCCATACTGAGCTCTGTGTGATTTCGTTAAAGGAAGCATTAAACAACTTGTCAGCACATAGGCATTGTATTAGGGACTCTCATCATGTGGAGGGACTCTGGCCAGTTCAGAAAGACATTATTAGAAAGTTAGAGGTGAGAGGATAAATGTAACTTAGCACTTTTGGGCTCGAGGAATGAACTATAGTTCTTTTCCTTAATGTTTTATACTGCAAACCTGTTGTTTTTAATTTTCTGAGCACTAACAACCCACTGCGCTTAAACAGCAACTCTTAATCAGAACACAATAATTAGAAAGTTAGAGCCTGCATGATACTTAGATATTCGGAGGGTTGCATAGCACAGAAACAAATCCCACAAGTTGGTTTTCCTGTCTTTTTTTTTTCTGATTTATCATATGATTTTTCTTTAAGTATTATCATCTGGATACATTTTGTAGTTTGCTTGTATCAATGATTTAGTATATAGGAATATAAGTGTATGTCACCCAAATACATTCACACACAGTTACTGCAACTCTGTAACAGTATAAGAAAAGAATAAAAAATCAATAAGGGGCTGACATAAAATCTTTTAAACACAGCATATTTAACAAGGAGGGAAAACTTGCTTAGCTGGCTGCCTCTTTAATTTCAAGGTAACTTTATTGGTCCACACATTGAATGTTCTAAATCTGATTGCAACAAGGGTCTAGTTACCATACATCACAGGATGAATACCAAATTTTTACTGAGATAATCCTTTAGTAACTGACAATCCTTTCAGACAAGGTTTTGGCAGAAAAAAATTCTTTAAGAATATAGTTAATTATTATTATATATCTCTGCCATTTTAACACTCTGTCCTCACCTACATAAAAACCCCTCTCTCTTTTATTAATAAGCTTGTAGAAGAAGTAACCTATCATAACTCTGCTGCTGCTTCCAGTCCATTTATTCTTCCTCACAATATTATAATTGGTTTCTGCTTCTATTGTTCTCCTAAAACTGGTGGTTGACTTTTTGTGGTATTGGTGGTGAACAGATAGATGCTCCTTTTGGAAACTCTCTGCACCTTTGGTCTTTGTGACATTTTCTTTTTCCTTTGTCTATTGGCAATGTCTCTATTCCTTAACCGCCTTTGCGAGAGCCTCTTTCTTAGCTCAGTCCTTGACTACTGATCCCCAGTTCTCAGACCTCTTTTCTCTTGATCTACAAAATCAATTCAGTCAATGGCTATGGCTGCCACTGTCTCCTGTGCTAAATCTCCCACAGTCATATATTCAGGGTCTCTTGTGAACTCAAGGCCCACATCTCAAATGACTTATTCTGTATCATAACATCCCACTGATAGGAATGATATCCAGCAGGAATGTACTGATACAATGGACTGATTGATTAGTGGTGATGACAAACTAGTTGTTAAATAGCTGAAAATCACCCCTTCCCAAAAGTACTAACTGAAATGCAATAATACATCTGCCATTTTCCCTGTAAATAATATTATGTGCTTCATTTTAACAGTGGCACCATACATTCTCTATTTACATAAGCTAACCTGGTCATTCAAATTCCAGATTTTGTGTCTTCTTACCTATAATTAATTTTAAGTTCAATAGTTTGCATGGTTATCCTGCCACCCTTATTGCTATATCATTTCTTGTTTAATATCACTATGACTTAACCTTACTAATTTTTACTCTGCAGTCGAAACCCCTCCAGTTCTACACTTCAGAGTGAAAACAGCATAATGTCACTTCCTATTCAAAATTCTTAAATGATTCCCCTAGGTACCAGCATATATTAATAAATCTACACTATTTTGCATTTTATATAGGATCTCTTATGCTCTGGCCCCTGCTCACGTATTCAAAGTCAAATTTTCCTCTTGCTCACTTCATATCAAACTCCATATCTCCCCAATGATGAATTATTTCTATTTCCCCCACCCCTCCTTCAGACCCTTCCATTATCTAAGCCTGTATATGTGATATTGGCTCTATCTGGAAGAACAGCCTATATATTACTTACCTGGCAGACACTTGATCTTCCCTCAAATCTCTGCCTAATTATAAACTCACTTACTTCCCTAGGGAGGCAAGGAGGTGTCCTTTTCTATTTTTCTATGTTGCTTCTGCATATTGTTCATATTTATAAAACAGGAAATATTTAACTCTATTTATATACAAGTATAGCTCCTTGAGTCCTGAGAATGTGCATCTAATTAATGTATGCTCATAAAAAATAAATTCTATATGAAAACCTCTCTTTTACCTGGGAAAATATATACATAGCTATGAAATAAGAGATCAATCCAGATACAAATGACTAGATGCTAATTTATGTAACTTTTTAGAATCTTTCCATCCATTCTTTAACAGAGATCTTCATTTAAAAGCTGTTCATTGAGTTCTAACTATGTGACAGAAACTGTGCTTGCCTTGGTGTATAGACAAAACATACTTTCTACTCTTATGGAGCTTATAGGTTGGTTTACCTAGAAAAAAGTCAATAAAGCACATTTATGTTACAGAAAAAGTCACAAGAGTCTGTTTAATGATCAATAAACATACTGCTTACGGAGGAAATTTGAATCTAGAATAATTTCTTCATGTTTACAGATATAGAATTCTCTTCTCTCATTAAAGACATATATGTCACATCAAATATGCAAGTAAATTTTGTTCTTTATGTATATTTGCTTTTAAATATTTTTATCTTATATATACCAGAGTCATAATACTTATAGCAAGTAGATTTATATCAATTTGTATTACATGTGAGACTGTAAAATAACAGCATTTTATATTTCCAATAATATAAATATAGTACATTCAAATACATAAAATTCAGTGGTAAATATAAAAGATTCATAAATGTAATAAGCTATTGGTATACTTAAAAAACAACCTTAAATTTTTAAAGCAATTTTCTACAATAACATAAAATGAACCAAATAATAGCATTTGTTAGTATTCAAGCTATTATCTTAAAATATAGTTTAATAATGAAGACAATAAGCTAATTATCTAAATGGAAATTTAAAGTGGGCTGGCATATGTACAAAACTCTGTAGAGAAAGTTCTCACATTTTAGTAAGCTTATATGAAACAGAGACTAGGGATGTTCTTCCAGTTCCATTTCTCAAATCATATTTTTGGCATGTTATTAAGTCAACCCACTCAGACTTCCAGGCAAAATCACTAGCTTAGGGGTGTTCAGAAGCCAATATGCTTAATATTATCAAGAAATGTAATACACATACTATAGTCATAAGATGAAACAATTTACTGATATTGAAGCAATTCTATTTAATGAGTACAGTAAAATTTTAGTGTATTTCAGTATGATAGTTTAAAAATATATACATTAGTATTAATAGAATTGCTCCAAAATTTTTTCTTGAAACTATGTATATGGCCCCACTAACCAGGAGCCTTTTTCTAAATAAAGTTTCCTTTTTCTTCTTTCAATATAATGATGTAATTAATATTTTTAAAAAAATTAACAGAAATACCTGGTTTTTCCCATGAAGATCTGGAAATCCACCAATAAAGACAGACCCTGATTTTGGCAGGGGTTTTCCAGGTATGTGATCGATAGTTTCACTTGTTTTTATAGTCTGCCCTAGAATAGTCAGTTCAGCTTTACATGGATCCAATTCTTGCCTGCAACCATTTAGGAAAGAAATTTATGGTTTTTGTATGTGTTGTATAAATATTTTTCTGACTAATTAATTAAGCTATTACCAAAAGAAGAATTTAAGTAAATAGATTATCTCACCATAAAACCAACAAAGCTATAAGTAGTTTAATCTGTTCTAAATTAGAAATACCTAATGTTTTCAGTACCTTCATATGAAGTTAAATTTTGACAAAGCAACAAATTGTAGCAATTACCTAATGAAATAACCAAATCCTGATAATAAACAAATCTTTCTCAATAGTAACTGAAATGATGTTAGAGTATAACATTCTACTTCAGTTGTTTACACTGTTGAATTTTCTGTTTGAGTGAATTATATTTAAAAGGATAAGATTTAAATGTGGCTATACAGTGTACAATTAGGTGGTAAATAGAAATTTTCGAGAACATAATTAGTTGTAGAAATATAAATCATACCAAGAAGTAAAGCATGTAAAAATAAAAAAGAATAAATCAAATATAAATGAAGAGACTTAGAGTAATAATTTCCATATGCTCATTTTTTTAGAAAGATGAGAAAGATAAACTACTTCAACAACTCTCCGACATGTAGATATACATGTCTCATTTACTCTTGCCATATGTTTATCTAATCATTGAATCCATGGATTAGCAAACTATACCCCTGAGGCAAATCTTGCCTGCCACCTCTTAGTAAATAAAGTTTAATTGGATCACAGACACATGCTTCTTTGTATTTAATCTAGGGCTGCTTTCATGGAAGAGTTGAGTAATGACAGTAAGAATTTAAGTTCCAAAAGGCCAAAAATATTTACTATCTAATCCTTACAGAAAAAGTTGGTGGACCTGTGATCTAATCAATTTATCTGTTTATCTACCAAGCAAGTAACTTTTATTATAATCCTTTTCAAGACAATAGAACACATATTATAAAAGACACCCACAGAGCATCCACTTATCAATGTCATTCTTTACTATAAATATGTGATGTAACTTTTTATTGAATTATAAAATACATAATAAAAAGGTAAATGGTGAAGCTCTATGAAATACCATACTGTGAAAATTTCCAAGTAACCACTACCCAGGCAAAAACCCCATAAAATTACTAGCCAGGCCTCTCTATCCCTACAGACACAGACACACAACCCCTTTATCTTCATTCAACATTATGTTTTCCATATTAATCTTTGTTATTTGAATTTAATAGTAGTTTGATAATTTCAAGGTATATCACTGGATATTTTACAAATTATTCTAGTATTGGTATACATTTGACTTTTTTCATAACTTTGGGGCTATTAATAATGTCACTATAAATATACTTGTATATATTGTTTGGTGCACATACATGTGCATTTCTGTTGAGGATTTAAGAAAAAAGACATAAAGTTCTATGTTGTAGACATATTACTGGTTAAATATATTACAAGAATTTTATTGTCCTTCTTTGTCTTTTTTTTTCCTTTAGGTAAATGCCTAGGCAAAGAATTTATGAAGAAGACCCCAAAAGCAATCACAGCAACAACAAAAATAAATAAATGGGACTTGATCAAATTGAAGAGCTTCTACACAGCCAAGGAAACTATCATTAGAGCAAACAGACAACCTACAGAATGGGAGAAAATATTTGCATGTTACACATCCAATAAAGGGCGGATAACTAGAATCTATCTAGAACTCAGGAAAGTCAGCAAGAAAATATCAAATGACTCCATTAAAAAGTGGACAAAGGACATGAACAGAAACTTTTCAAAAGAAGACAGATTAATGGCCCACAAACATGAAAAATTGCTCAACATTTCTAATTCATCAGGGAAATGCAAATCAAAACCACAGTGAGATATCACTTAACTCCAGTGAGAATGGCTTTTATCAAAAAAAGTCCCCAAATGACAAATGTTGGCATGGATGTGGAGAGATAGGAACTCTCATACACTAGTGGGACTGCAAAATATTAATTGGACAACCTCTACGGACAGTAGTATGGAGAAACCTCAAAGAACTAAAAGTAGAACTAACATTAATCCAGAAGTTTTTTTTTCTTTCTTTTTTATAATTTCAGCATATGTACCCCATTTGTGGGGGTACAAATGTTAAGGTTACGTATATTGCCTTTGCCTCCCTTCCCCCTCGAGTGAGAGATTCAAGCCTGTCCATACCCCAGATGGTGCACATCACACTTATTATGTATGTATATACCTGTCCCCTTCTCTCTACCCCCACCTGCCCGACACCCGATAAATGTTATTTCTATATGTCCATTTAGGTGTTGATCAGTGAAACCAATTTTCTGCTGAGTACATGCAGTGTTTATTTTTCCATTCTTGGGATAGTTCACTTAGTAGAATGGGTTCCAGATCTATCCAGGAAAATGCAAGAGGTGCTATATCACCATTGTTTCTTATAGCTGAATAGTACTTCATGGTATACATATACCACATTTTATTGATCCACTCATGTATTGATGGGCACTTCAGTTGTTTCCACATCTTTGCAATTGTGAATTGTGCTGCTATAAACATTCGAGAGCAGGTGTCTTTTTTATAGAGTGTCTTTTGTTCTTTTGAGTAGATGTCCAGTAATGGGATTGCTGGATCAAATGGTAGATCCACTTATATAGCTTTAAGGTAGCTCCATATTGCTTTCCACAGTGGTTCAACTAGTTTGCAGTCCCACCAGCAATGTAGGAGTATTCCTATCTCTCCATATCCACGCCAACATTTATTGTTTTGGGACTTGTTAATAAAGGCCATTCTCACTGGAGATAAGTGATATCTCATTGTGGTTTTGATTTGCATTTCCCTGATGATTAGAGATGTTGAGCATTTTTTCATATGTTTGTTGGCCATTATTGTGTCTTCTTTTGGAAAGTTTCTGTTCATGTCCTTGAAGTTTTTAATTTTAATTTACACCAATTGATCAATCTTTTACTTAATGATTAGTGTTTTGTTGTTGCTCTTGTTCTTACTCTATTATTTCTGAAAGTATACTTTACTATTGACATTTAGATCTACAATCCATCTGAGATTGATTTTTTTTCTTGTAGTCCCAGTTCTGCATCAATTTTATTTTTTCCTTATGGAAATCCAATTGACTCAGTAACATAAGTGGAAAAAGCCTATCTGTTCTCCACTGTTCTGCAATATTACTTCTGTCATAAATCATGTCCATAAGATGGGTCTGTTTCTAGACTCTCTTCTGTTCTGCTGGTCATTTTTTTTTTTTTTTTATCTTTGTACCAATACATCACTGTCTTAAGACTTACTCTAACAATACCATTTTAATACCCAGTAGAGTAAGTTCTCCTACTTCATGTTTCCACCTCAGCATTGTTTTGGCCGGAGGGGATATGTTTGTGTGTTCCCAGCCTCTCTTTCTCTTTCATTGGTCCATATTTCTACCTTTGTACCAATACCTCATTGCCTGCAATTCTTATGCTTTATAAGTCAAGATATTTTGTATAGTACATCCTCTTATTTTGCTCAGTTTTTTGGTTCATTTTTATTAAATATCCTTTCTGTTATTTTCTGTTTTTTAAATTTAAGGTGCATTTGAGACATGTAAATGGAGATGTCAAGCAGGCACTTCAATCAAAACAATACTCGCACATGTTATCAAATCAAATAATGCAGAAGAGCATAAGCAATAGTTTCCAATTCCCTTAATTGTGGTGAATTATGTTGGCTAGTTTTTAAATGTTTGAATACATTCCCGTAATATGTCAAACTTGATCATGATGTATGCCTTTCTTATATAACATTGGATTCACTTTTCTGTATTTTAGGGAATTTCTACATATATGTTAATGAGAGAGATAGGCTTTCCAATTTTTGTTCTTGTACTGCTCTGGTAAAATTTTTGTATCAAGGTTATGCTGCTCTTATATTATTCAGAAAGATTGCGTTACATTGATGTTGTAACTACCTTTTATGTATAATAGAATACACTAGTACAGCCACCTGTCTGGGAATTTTCTTTGAGTTTTCCTGGAGGAGGTACTAAATATGAACTCAATGTATTTAGTTGATATATATTATCTGTGTATTTTTATGTCATTTTTGTCACATTGTGTTTTTCCAGGAATTTTTCTTTTAATATAAATTTTCAAAGTTATTGGTATAAAGTATTTTATTATTTCATTTTATTATATTTTTATTGGTGTTGGAACTTTAATGATGTCTGCTATTTTGTGTGTGATATTGATTATTTGTGTTTTTTCTTATTTTATTTGTTTTGTAGATCAACATTGGCAGAGAGCAGTAAATTTCAAAGAACACACTTTTGGCATTGTTGGTAGTCTCCATTCTCTAGTTTTCTACCCCATTAACTTCTGCTCTTATCTTTATGATTTATTTGCTTTAACTTTCTCTGTGTTTAAGTAACTCTTATGTTTCTAAGGCTTTTAATCTAATATATGCTTTCAAGATTGAAATTTTTTTATAAACTTAAATTTACCTATATTTAACAAGTTTTATTTTTCATTATTCCCTGCTCAAAATCTTTTTTATTTTACTTTGTGAGTTCTTTTCTTTGGTCTGAAAATTATCCAGAATTGTGTTGCCAAATTTACAAATATACAGAGACTTTCTGGTTATTTTTTATATTCTAAATTTAGTTCCAATCAAGGTTGTTGAGAAAATATTCTATGCTTTGAATTCTTTGAAATGCATTGATTCAGGCTGCATGGCCCAACATATGGTTAATTTTAGTAATACTTTCAAGACATAGAAAGTCTGTAGTTGGGTGTAGTGTTCTTTCTACCTATGTGAATATGGTCACATTTTATGCTCACACTAAAACACATTTATACTCTTTCATAGTGAATTTAGGTTAGGTACAATCAATGAGTTAAATCATGTCTATGATTATGTCTACTTAGTATTCCCTTAAAAAATGTTTAATGGATTCTTCACATCCTCCTTCTATCTATAGCATGATATAAACTTAATTGAGTTAAGACCAGGTATGGTCATGTAGCCAATATTGAGGCTTTGATAGA